GAGGGATCTGTGCCTCAGTTTCCCCAGTTTGGAACTGGTTTGGGGCACCTTTAGGAGCTGGAGGAGGGATCTGTGCCTCAGTTTCCCCAGTTTGGAACTGGTTTGGAGATGGAGGACGGTTCCGTGCCTCAGTTTCCCCAGTTTGGAACTGGTTTGGGGCACCTTTGGGAGGAGGAGAACGGATCCTTGCCTCAGTTTCCCCAGTTTGGGGCACCTTTAGGAGCTGGAGAATGGATCCGTGCCTCAGTTTCTCCAGTTTGGAACTGGTTTGGAGGTGGAGGAGGGATCTGTGCCTCGGTTTCCCCAGTTTGGAACTGGTTTGGAGGCGGAGGAGGGATCCGTGCCTCAGTTTTTCCAGTTGGGAACCAGTTTGGAGGCGGAGGAGGGATCTGTGCCTCAGTTTCCCCAGTTTGGAACTGGTTTGGAGATGGAGGACGGTTCCGTGCCTCAGTTTCCCCAGTTTGGAACTGGTTTGGGGCACCTTTGGGAGGAGGAGAACGGATCCTTGCCTCAGTTTCCCCAGTTTGGGGCACCTTTAGGAGCTGGAGGAGGGATCCGTGCCTCAGTTTCTCCAGTTTGGAACTAGTTTGGAGGTGGAGGAGGGATCTGTGCCTCGGTTTCCCCAGTTTGGAACTGGTTTGGAGGCGGAGCAGGGATCCATGCCTCGGTTTTCCCAGTTGGGAACTGGTTTGGAGGCAGAGGAGGGATCCGTGCCTCAGTTTTCCCAGTCTGGAACTGGTTTGGGGCAGCTTTAGGAGATGGAGAACGGATCTTAGCCTCAGTTTCCCCAGTTGGGAACTGGTTTGGAGATGGAGGACAAGCCCATGCTTCAGTCTCCCCAGTTTGGAACTGGTTTGGAGATGGAGGACAAACCCATGCTTCAGTTTTCCCAGTTTTGGGCACCTTTAGGAGCTGGAGAATGGATCCGTGCCTCAGTTTTCCCAGTCTGGAACCAGTTTGGAGATGGAGGACAAACCCATGCTTCAGTTTCCCCAGTTTGGAACTGGTTGGGGGCACCTTTAAGAGACAAAACAGATCCATGTGTCAGTTTCCCCAGTTTGGAACCAGTCTGGAGATGGAGGACGAATCTGTGGTTCAGTTTTCCCAGTCTGGAACTGGGTTGGGGCACCTTTAGGAGCTGGAGAACAGATCCGTGCCTCAGTTTCCCCAGTTGGGAACTGGTTTTGAGATGGAGGACAAACCCATGCTTCAGTCTCCCCAGTTTGGAACTGGTTTGGGGCACCTTTAGGAGTTGGAGAATGGATCCATGCCTCAGTTTCCCCAGTTTGGAACCAGTCTGGAGATGGAGGACAAATCTGTGCTTCGGTTTTCCCAGTTTGGAACTGGTTTGGAGATGGAGGACGGTTCCGTGCCTCAGTTTCCCCAGTTTGGAACTGGTTTGGGGCACCTTTGGGAGGAGGAGAACGGATCCTTGCCTCAGTTTCCCCAGTTTGGGGCACCTTTAGGAGCTGGAGAATGGATCCGTGCCTCAGTTTCTCCAGTTTGGAACTGGTTTGGAGGTGGAGGAGGGATCTGTGCCTCGGTTTCCCCAGTTTGGAACTGGTTTGGAGGCGGAGGAGGGATCCATGCCTCGGTTTTCCCAGTTGGGAACTGGTTTGGAGGCAGAGGAGGGATCTGTGCCTCAGTTTCCCCAGTTTGGAACTGGTTTGGGGCACCTTTGGGAGGAGGAGAACGGATCCTTGCCTCAGTTTCCCCAGTTTGGGGCACCTTTAGGAGCTGGAGAATGGATCCGTGCCTCAGTTTCTCCAGTTTGGAACTGGTTTGGAGGTGGAGGAGGGATCTGTGCCTCGGTTTCCCCAGTTTGGAACTGGTTTGGAGGCGGAGGAGGGATCCATGCCTCGGTTTTCCCAGTTGGGAACTGGTTTGGAGGCAGAGGAGGGATCCGTGCCTCAGTTTTCCCAGTCTGGAACTGGTTTGGGGCAGCTTTAGGAGATGGAGAACGGATCTTAGCCTCAGTTTCCCCAGTTTGGAACTGGTTTGGAGATGGAGGACAAGCCCATGCTTCAGTCTCCCCAGTTTGGAACTGGTTTGGAGATGGAGGACAAACCCATGCTTCAGTTTTCCCAGTTTTGGGCACCTTTAGGAGCTGGAGAATGGATCCGTGCCTCAGTTTTCCCAGTCTGGAACCAGTTTGGAGATGGAGGACAAACCCATGCTTCAGTTTCCCCAGTTTGGAACTGGTTGGGGGCACCTTTAAGAGACAAAACAGATCCATGTGTCAGTTTCCCCAGTTTGGAACCAGTCTGGAGATGGAGGACGAATCTGTGGTTCAGTTTTCCCAGTCTGGAACTGGTTTGGGGCACCTTTAGGAGCTGGAGAACGGATCCATGCCTCAGTTTCCCCAGTTTGGAACTGGTTTGGGGCACCTTTAGGAGCTGGAGAATGGATCCATGCCTCAGTTTCCCCAGTTTGGAACTGGTTTGGAGATGGAGGACAAACCCATGCTTCAGTTTCCCCAGTTTGGAACTGGTTTGGAGGCAGAGGAGGGATCCGTGCCTCGGTTACCCCAGTTTGGAACTGGTTGGGGCACCTTTGGGAGGAGGAGGACGGTTCCGTGCCTCAGTTTCCCCAGTTTGGAACTGGTTTGGAGGCGGAGGAGGGATCTGTGCCTCGGTTTCCCCAGTTTGGAGCCGGTCTGGGGCAGCTTTAGGAACTGGAGAACGGATCTTAGCCTCAGTTTCCCCAGTCTGGAACCAGTTTGGAGATGGAGGACAAACCCATGCTTCAGTCTCCCCAGTTGGAACTGGTTTGGAGGCGGAGGAGGGATCCGTGCCTCAGTTTCCCCAGTTTGGAACTGGTTTGGAGATGGAGGAGGGCTCCATGCCCCAGTTTCCCCAGTTTGGAACTGGTTTGGGGCACCTTTGGGAGGAGGAGGAGGGCTCCGTGCCTCAGTTTCCCCAGTTTGGAACTGGTTTGGGGCACCTTTGGGAGGAGGAGAACGGATCCTTGCCTCAGTTTCCCCAGTTTGGGGCACCTTTAGGAGCTGGAGAATGGATCCGTGCCTCAGTTTTCCCAGTCTGGAACCAGTTTGGAGATGGAGGACAAACCCATGCTTCAGTTTTCCCAGTTTTGGGCACCTTTAGGAGCTGGAGAATGGATCCGTGCCTCAGTTTTCCCAGTCTGGAACCAGTTTGGAGATGGAGGACAAACCCATGCTTCAGTTTTCCCAGTTTTGGGCACCTTTAGGAGCTGGAGAATGGATCCGTGCCTCAGTTTTCCCAGTCTGGAACCAGTTTGGAGATGGAGGACAAACCCATGCTTCAGTTTTCCCAGTTTTGGGCACCTTTAGGAGCTGGAGAATGGATCCGTGCCTCAGTTTTCCCAGTCTGGAACCAGTTTGGAGATGGAGGACAAACCCATGCTTCAGTTTTCCCAGTTTTGGGCACCTTTAGGAGCTGGAGAATGGATCCGTGCCTCAGTTTTCCCAGTCTGGAACCAGTTTGGAGATGGAGGACAAACCCATGCTTCAGTTTCCCCAGTTTGGAACTGGTTGGGGGCACCTTTAAGAGACAAAACAGATCCATGTGTCAGTTTCCCCAGTTTGGAACCAGTCTGGAGATGGAGGACGAATCTGTGGTTCAGTTTTCCCAGTCTGGAACTGGGTTGGGGCACCTTTAGGAGCTGGAGAACAGATCCGTGCCTCAGTTTCCCCAGTTGGGAACTGGTTTTGAGATGGAGGACAAACCCATGCTTCAGTCTCCCCAGTTTGGAACTGGTTTGGGGCACCTTTAGGAGTTGGAGAATGGATCCATGCCTCAGTTTCCCCAGTTTGGAACCAGTCTGGAGATGGAGGACAAATCTGTGCTTCGGTTTTCCCAGTTTGGAACTGGTTTGGAGATGGAGGACGGTTCCGTGCCTCAGTTTCCCCAGTTTGGAACTGGTTTGGGGCACCTTTGGGAGGAGGAGAACGGATCCTTGCCTCAGTTTCCCCAGTTTGGGGCACCTTTAGGAGCTGGAGAATGGATCCGTGCCTCAGTTTCTCCAGTTTGGAACTGGTTTGGAGGTGGAGGAGGGATCTGTGCCTCGGTTTCCCCAGTTTGGAACTGGTTTGGAGGCGGAGGAGGGATCCATGCCTCGGTTTTCCCAGTTGGGAACTGGTTTGGAGGCAGAGGAGGGATCTGTGCTTCAGTTTCCCCAGTTTGGAACTGGTTTGGAGGCAGAGGAGGGATCCGTGCCTCGGTTTCCCCAGTCTGGAACCAGTTTGGAGATGGAGGACAAACCCATGCTTCAGTTTCCCCAGTCTGGAACCAGTCTGGAGATGGAGGACAAATCTGTGCTTCAGTTTCCCCAGTTTGGAACTGGTTTGGGGCACCTTTCGGAGCTGGAGAACAGATCCGTGCCTCAGTTTCCCCAGTTTGGAACCAGTTTGGAGGCGGAGGAGGGATCCGTGACTCAATTTCCCCAGTTGGGAACTGGTTTGGAGCTGGAGGAGGGATCTGTGCCTCAGTTTCCCCAGTTTGGAACTGGTTTGGGGCACCTTTAGGAGCTGGAGAATGGATCCGTGCCTCAGTTTCCCCAGTTTGGAACTGGTTTGGAGGTGGAGGAGGGATCTGTGCCTCGGTTTCCCCAGTTTGGAACTGGTTTGGAGGCGGAGGAGGGATCCATGCCTCGGTTTTCCCAGTTGGGAACTGGTTTGGAGGCAGAGGAGGGATCCGTGCCTCAGTTTTCCCAGTCTGGAACCAGTTTGGAGATGGAGGACAAACCCATGCTTCAGTTTCCCCAGTTTGGAACTGGTTGGGGGCACCTTTAAGAGACAAAACAGATCCATGTGTCAGTTTCCCCAGTTTGGAACCAGTCTGGAGATGGAGGACGAATCTGTGGTTCAGTTTTCCCAGTCTGGAACTGGGTTGGGGCACCTTTAGGAGCTGGAGAATGGATCCGTGCCTCAGTTTCTCCAGTTTGGAACTGGTTTGGAGGTGGAGGAGGGATCTGTGCCTCGGTTTCCCCAGTTTGGAACTGGTTTGGAGGCGGAGGAGGGATCCATGCCTCGGTTTTCCCAGTTGGGAACTGGTTTGGAGGCAGAGGAGGGATCCGTGCCTCGGTTTCCCCAGTCTGGAACCAGTTTGGAGATGGAGGACAAACCCATGCTTCAGTTTCCCCAGTTTGGAACTGGTTTGGAGATGGAGGACAAACCCATGCTTCAGTTTTCCCAGTTTTGGGCACCTTTAGGAGCTGGAGAATGGATCCGTGCCTCAGTTTTCCCAGTCTGGAACCAGTTTGGAGATGGAGGACAAACCCATGCTTCAGTTTCCCCAGTTTGGAACTGGTTTGGAGATGGAGGACAAACCCATGCTTCAGTTTTCCCAGTTTTGGGCACCTTTAGGAGCTGGAGAATGGATCCGTGCCTCAGTTTCTCCAGTTTGGAACTGGTTTGGAGGTGGAGGAGGGATCCGTGCCTCAGTTTTTCCAGTTGGGAACCAGTTTGGAGGCGGAGGAGGGATC